CTCAGGGTCAGGGCCCATGCCTGGTCGTCTCTGAATACTTCATGCTTAGTTCTTTTAATGGGTTTAGGAGTTGAAGGACACTTTAGCCAAGAGGGGATGCATGTTCAACTGACTTCATTATGGAATTTTGGGCTGTCCTTAAGGAACAGTAGCGTGCTCCGAGAGAGGGAGACTTGGCCCACTGTGGGAGCAGTGGGTTCTTCCTGAGTACATGGGTCCAAAGGGCTTTTCCAAAGGCCTACAGTGGTCCCTGGCAGATCTCAGAAGCCTCAGAGATGTTAAATAAAAAGGCCACCCCCCATCTGGGTGGTTGGTACTTTTGGAGGTGGATGTTGTGAGAGAATGGCATAAATGTAGGAGCCTTGGCATGTGATAAATCTCTTTTCAGGTCCTAAAATCCCTCAAGACTGAAGGTGGGCAGTGGGGTTTGATTGGTGGGGCAGAGCTCCTTGAAGTGGGGCTGAGGTGAAACCAATGTCCTCCTCACCATGCTGGCTTGGCTGGAGCTTCACTGCCTCACAGTTCTTCTCTGAGCAGCAGCAAGGTCCCTCCTGACCTCTGCTTCTCCTTGGCTGTGTGAGTGCCAGCCTTTAGGACTCAGAGGGATGGCAGCATGGCACTGCCTCCTGATCTCGGCCCAAGGAGACTGAGATGCCTGCACTCTAGCTGCATAAGAGCAGAGTCTCTCCCTGAGTGCTGGAGGCAGAGACACCTGATAGACCAAACAGGGAATAGGGTCTCTTCTTCTTTCTTGCAAAGGGAGACAATGAGAGTAAGCTGTCCACTCCAGATAAACCATTTTGCCTTTGGGGCTGGTTGGGCAGAATAGACCTTGGTCTGATTTTTCTCATTCAGGACAGGTTATTGTCCAAGACTTAAGCTCAGTTGGGAGTTTCAGAAGGTGGTCCCTGTGAGGTCTCATCATTTCCTAGGTTGGTGGTAAAATCTGATGTCACTTTTCCTATGTCTTTAATTTCTTTTTAATTTAATTTTATTTATTCATTCATTTATTTTAATTTTACTAGAGAACTAGAGAGAGACACACATGGAGAGAGAGAGGAAAGTGAGAAAGCAAGCCGCCAGGTCCGAGATTCGAACCGTGGTCAGCCATGTGGGAGTGTCTAGCACCTCAACCACCATGCCACCTGCTGGTCCCATATGTCTTTAATTTCTAATGTTTTTACTGCAAACTGCCAGAGGGGAAAAATACTTGGATAATCTCTTAAAACTACAAGGTCAGGGGGCCAGTAGGTGGCATGGTGGTTAAGGGGCTGGACTCCTACATGGTCGGCCACGACTTGAGTTGCAGAACCAGCAGCCTGAAACTCACACTGGGTACGTGTGCGTGCGTGCCCCAAATCCCAAGGAGAATGGTTTGCAGCATGGCCATTCTCCCTGGGAGGTAATTTCTCATCTTCTCTCTTTATGTCTCTATGTTTCCAGTGAGTGCACACACCCTGTAGCAAAAATCTCTCTCAAAAACAAAAACCAAGAGGATCTGTCTATGGTGACACAGGCCGCACAGACCTCTGCAATGGCTGAGGCCACATGGGAGGCCCAGGTTTGGTTCCTGGCTTAATCTAGGCAGTCTGGTGTGGTGGTGTGTGCCTGTGGGCCTAGCTACTGGGAGGCTGCGGCAGGAAGGATCACAGTGTGGCAACTCCGTCAAAACAAACAAAGGAACATCTTGGGGCCAGCAAGTGGTGTGGTGGTTGGGGTGCTGGAATTCCCACATGGCTGACCATAGTTTGAGTCCTGGACCTGGTGGCTTCCTTTCTCTCTCTCTCTCTCTTGGTCTTTCTCTGGCAAAACTCATGTGAAAATAATAATAATAAATAAAGTTAAATAAAAATAATTTTAAAAAAGGAACATCTCTTTCCTTGTATTCACTCTCACTGTTTAAAAATATATATTTAATTCCATTTGTTATTATCACTGTTTTTAGAATTATTTTATTTAACTTTATTTATTTTAATTTGACCAGAGAGGGACAGAAAGAGCCAGGTCTGGGACTGGCAGTTGGTCATGTGGGAGTCCAGCTCCCCTAACCACCACGGAAAAGTGAGAAAGCAAGCTGCCAAGTCCAGGACTTGAACCTCAGTCAGCTATGTGGGAATCTAGTACCCTCAACCACCATGCCATCTGCCAGACCCATCACTCTCATTTAAAAAAAAAAAAAATTAGGTTAGGAAGATTTTAAATACCTCTGAAGTTCTTATAGATGTTCCTAGGGCCGTTTTTAGATGGGACCAAAGTTCCTCTTTAAAGAAATAATTACAGTGCTTGGCCTGTGACATTTAGGCTTTCTTGTATTGGGTTTATTTGTAGGTGTCTCCTGCCTCGCTCATTCATTTCTGTTTTGCTCCAGTGACAGGGAACTTACCCTTATTTTTCATTCCAGGGTGGAGGGCTTATCCTTGAACCACCATAAGATTTTCTCTGAGCTTCTAGGCTTTTTGGGTGACAGACCCTGATTTTCCTCCACTGAGTTTGGAAGGCTTTCTATCTGCTCTGGCCCCTGATATTCATACCTTCTCTCCTGCTGTTTTTGTCTGATTTAGTTGACAGAGAAAACATCCTAATCAGCTGGTGTTGTGGGCCAGGGTCCAAGAGAAACTAAACTCTTGAGTAGGCACATCAGGTTTAGAGCTCCTAGAAGCTACAGAGACATCTTCCTCTTCTTCCAGCTGCAGTGGCTACTTTATACTTTATAAGTGCCGTTTTATGCCCCCAAGGGCTACTTCTGTTGTGGTTTAGATTTGGTTGTTGCCTTGGATGGAAGTACAAGTTTAATTGAGCAAGAAAATGTGGATCTGTGTGGCTATCTATGGCCTCAGAAGCTGACACCCACCCATGTTGGTTCTGGCAGGTGCCTTTGGCTGATAAAGTAGAAATGATCAACAAATTTTTAGTCTTGTGATCTATCAATAAATAGTTCAGGAGATCACCTCCACCTACATCTTCAGGTTTTTATCATAAACGTTTCTCTATAAAAATACATGCTTACTAAAACAATCATATATTAAAAGGTAGAAGGAACCATTGATTCCTCCATTGAGAAATCCACTGGCAACATTTTATACATACCTTTCCAGGCTTTTTCTTGATTTCTTTTAGTTTACCAGACAGTAAGCTAAAAGAAATAAACTACACTTGCCAGAGACAGAAAGCACCCCCATAGGTACGATCACACCGCAATCCCTCTCCTGTTTCTCCACCTTCTCAGGATCTGGGGCATGCATGCATGTGAGCCCAGCATGCTGTTCAAACCACTGGGTTTTTTTTTTTTTTTTTAAACTTTTATCTACATTTATTTTATGCTGACTTTATTCCCGTGCCATAAGTTTTTGTTTTTCCAGTTTCTTCTGGGATATCTTTTTCTTCTGTGTGGCTTCCTCTTCTGGTTTAGGAACAATTTGCTCCTTTTCAGTCAAGATCATCTCTATGTGGCAGGGGGAGCTCACATAGGGGTTAATCCATATGAGCTCTGTACTTATGACAGCGGAGTCTTGGGTGCCTTGTTTACCTGAATGTGCTCAATGACCAGAGAATCTACATTTAACCCCTTAAGTTCAGCATTACTCTGCATTTTTAAGCATGTGCAGCAAAAATGCAGTACTCTTTTTTAGACTACCGACCTTGTGTCCAGCCCCACTGTTTAGCTTACCAATATCTACCAACTCCACCATTGTAACGATGGAATGGCACACACTGCTTCTGTAAAGTGACATCCTTCAGATTCTTGGTGGCTTTTTGGATATGCAACTTTGATGGCCTGGGCAGTTTCAGGAGTGATGTGAACCTCTTGATTTGCATGAATGTGGGGCTCTCTGGGTCAAGTGAATAACAAACCATTTTCAAAGATCACTTTGGGCCCCTTACAAGAAGAGCAAGCCACTGGGTTCTTTTTTTTTTTTTTAATAATTATTTTATTTATTCATTCATTTATTTTTTAATTTGACCAGAGAGAGACAGATGTTGAGAGTGAGAGAGAGAGGAAGCGAGAAAGCAAGCCACCAGATTCAGGACTCAAACCCTGGTCGGCCATGTGGGAGTGTCCAGCGCTTTAACCACCACACCAGCAGCTGGTCCCTGGGTTCTTTTTTTGAGAGATTTTTGCTCTAGGGCGTGTGTACTTACCAGAGACAGAAAGTGAGAAATCACCCCCCAGAAGGGGATGGCCCCATTTCAATCCCTTCTCCTCTAGTCACCTCTTGGGATTTTTAGGCACACACATATGCCCAGCGTGAGTTTTAAGCCACCAGGTCTGGGACTTGAAACATGGTCAACTATGTGGGAGTCCAGCAACATAACCATTTCACCATCTGTGGCTGGTCCCAAGTAGATGGTTTTGAACCATGTGGTTGGCCATATGAGATCCATCTGACTTAACCACCAGGCCATGGAGCCAGCCCTCTAGTCTTTGTTTTTTGGCAAATTTGGTGGTGGCTCCACAGGGGGTTCTCATCTTGGCCCTGTCACAGGGCCCCCAGCTAGTTATTCTTTCCCTCCCAGATCTTGGCCCACAGTTCTCATAGGAGGTTTTTTCTTTTCTTTTTTTGGGAGAGTTTTTTTTTTTTTTTAATAGGATGCATACACTCACCAGAAAGAGAGAGACAGAGAGAAATCACCCCCAAGGGGGATGGCCATGCCGCAATCCTTTCTCCTCCATTCTTCTCTCAGGATCTTGGGCACGCACGCACGCATGCACGCACACGCACACATGTGCCCAGTGTGAGTTTAAGCCAGTGGGTCTGGGACTCGAACTGTAGTCGACTACATGGGAGTCCAGCGACATAGCCATTACGCCAACTACTGGTCCCTCTCATAGAAGTTTTGTCTTGAAGACTAATTTCTGCCCTTAAGAGGGAGGGGTAATTCTTATTTGGTACTTTGGATAACAATGCCAGAGTCCCTCTTTGCCTGTGCGGGATGGACCCCAGGGGCTTTGGGCTATATATTGCCCTCCCTCAAGCCTGTCATTTACATTTTTCTGCCAGTTATACAACAGCCAATGCTGAGTCTGACTATGAGCGAGACTCTGACAAGGAAAGTGAGGACGGGGAAGATGAAGTGAGCTGTGAGACCGTGAAGATGGGGAGAAAAGATTCTCTGGACCTGGACGAGGAGGCAGCTTCTGGTCCAGTACCCAGTGCCTTGGAGGCTGGAGGCTCCTTGGACCTGGAGGATGTGCTGCCTCTCCTGCAGCAGGCGGATGAGCTGCACCAGGGCAGTGAGCAGAGCAAGCGTGAGGGCTTCCAGCTACTGCTCAACAACAAGCTGGCGGTGAGGTTCTAGCTGCCTGTTCCCTCTCCCTCCTCCCTTCCCCTTCAGCTCTTGACCTCCAGGGAATGAAAGCAGACCCATGTGGTTACTTTTCTTATAATATGACACGGGAAGGAAAATGGGTGAGATGGCCAGTTTTACATCTCTCAGGTTGCAGATCCTCTTCCTAGGAAGCCCAGTGTGGGCCCTGGGGCTGGTCTGAGAGTGCCTTCCCTTCTGGAGAGGTGGCAGTCCTCTGCCTCCTGTAAAAGTACTGCAAAGAGCTTGCCTCTCACTGTAGGGGAAAATGTGGAAAAAAGTGGACTTTCCCCTGTTCCTTTCCTGTTTCTGTAGAGGCAGAGCCCAAGCTGCCTGACCCACTTGAAGTTCCTTTTGTGAGTGACTACTGTACAGGTTACCCAACCACACTTCCTGTCTTCTCAGGTTTACTGACAAAATTTATGCTCACCAGGTGTAAATGTCTTCCCAGAGTTAGACTTCCCTTTTCTTGGTCAATTTCATATTTTCATGTTTCAATAAAAGACCTCCCATTACCTCTTCTTGGAGCTGACCTTTTCTCTTGGCAGTATTAGGCAGCCGGAATGCTCTCTGCAATCGTGCAAGCTTTTGGCTAGAGAGATAACCTGCTTTCAGAAACTGCATGTGGGAAGCCATGGGGTGGAGGGAAGGCCAGGGCTCCCATTTAAACAGTCAAGGGAAGAGGGGCCTTATCCTTTTCTGTTTGGTCTGCAGTATGGAAGCCGGCAGGACTTTCTTTGGCGCCTGGCCAGAGCCTACAGTGATATGTGCGAGCTCACTGAGGAGGTGAGCGAGAAGAAGTCATATGCTCTAAATGGTAAGTGCCAACAGGTTCCTTGCAGGAAGGTGACTGATTCTGGGAGTGGAGCTGGCTCATCTGCTTGGGGCCTGAAAACCACCAAGATGTTACTCCTCTTGAGGTAGAAAGCATGGTCTTTGCCTATATGCGAATCACGGTGACTGTAAAACACCAGTGCACGTTTTTAGTTGTATCAAATTAGTGTTCTTTTTTCTTACTCCCCAACCACAAAGAGGGGACAAAGTCTCCTTTCCTAGCCTGAGGCTTTTTTCTGTTACTTGAGAATTTGATTTTAATTATGTAACCTGTGGGGCAGGTGCTCCAAGAAAATGAGTGGAATGTATATAGCAAGAAATGGGTTGCATTCATTGATCACCTCTTAGTGTTAGTAACCAGCATGAGCCTTGAAGCAGAGATGGAGACAGTGGATAGTAGAGTGGTTGCAGCCAGTAGAGTGGTTGGTCTGACTTCCTGAGCTCAGCACCCCTTGGAAAAGTCTGCTGCTCCTGCTAGAGTGTCTTTAAAAGTCCTGCTCTGGGACAATAGCCTTTAGGAACCATGCTTTCTGGGTCTAAAGTTCATTTTGTTCTGTCCCTAAAAGCTGGACCATCAGGCCTGCAGGTGGCATGAGGGTTAAAGGTGTTGGACTCCCACATGACCAACTGCAGTTTGAGTCCTGGGCCTGGAGAATCGAAAATCACACCAGGCACATATGTGTGCATGCCCAAAAATCCCAGGAAGAGAATGGAGAAGAGACTGTGGTGTGGCTATGCCCTCTGGAGGGTGATTTCTCACTTTACCCCTCTCTTTGCAGCAGGTGCAGGTGCCCTGTGGCAAAAACCTAAAAATATATACATAAATAAAAGCTAGACTATTGGGGGCAGGCATCCTGTGGGATCTCAGGCCTTATCTTATCCACCCAACTGTCCTACCTTGTCAGGAACTTGGGGTGGGGGTCACATTATTTGCTGTCATTTTTTTTTTTTTTTTTTAGTGAGATAGTGCTTTGAAGGAAGGTAAAAACCCTTGGAGGCAATGTCCCTCATTGGTGGGGCCCTTGAGGGCCTTCTGTTTGGAAAGGAGGATGTAGAGTTCTTCACAGCCTCAGTTGTCTTAAAGATATACTTGTTGTATAAATACCATTGTACTGTTAACTATCACTCCAAAAAAGGAAACATTTCAGAATTGCTAGCCTACCACCCTAACACATTGCATTTGTTCCATTTCTCCATGTTCTCTCTCCTTTAATTATTTACTTAATTTGGGACCAGCAGATGGTTTAATGGTTACATCATTGGACTCCCACATGACTGACTACAGTTTAGGTCCTGGATTCATGCTAGGCATGTGTACAGGGGTGCCTCAAATCCTGAGAAGTGAATGGAAGAGAAGGGATTGTAGTGTGGCCACCCCCTCAGGGGGTGATTTCTCATTTCTGTCTCTATTTCTCCAGTGAACACATATGTTCTATAGCAAAAATCTCTCTTAAAAATTAAAAAAACAATTATTTACTTAATCTATTATTATTTTTTAGTACCATGAACCAAATTTCCTCACAAGGGGAATTTTATTGATTACTTAATTCCCTCACAAAACAACCAACTGTATTCAAATGAGGTGAACATTCACCTCAAGATTTTATTATCGGGAACCAGCAGTTAGCGTAATGGCTATGTTGCTGGACTCCCATGTAATCAACTGTGGTTCGCGTCCCAAACCCGGTGGCTTCAAACTCACGCCGGGCGTGTGTGCGTGCGTGCGTGCGTGCCCAAGATCCCGAGAGGAGAATAGAGGAGAAGGGATTGTGGCATGACCATCCCCCCTGGGGGGTGATTTCTCATTTTCTGTCTCTCTGTCTCTCTCTGGCTGTCTGGCGAGCGCACGCGCCCTATAGCAAAAACCTCTCCAAAAAAAAAAAAAAAGAAAAGATTTTATTATCTTCATAATACAAAATATGAAATTTAGATCTGTATCACTTGATCTTTCTCATCTTAGCTCCTCACAGTTCAAAATGCTTGTATCTCTTAAGAGCCAGAATTCTCTTAAATCTGCAGTTGGGCTCAATACATTCAAGCTTCAGGACTATCTTCCTTTTTAATTTTTTTAAAGGATTATTTTATGTAACTTAATTTATTTTTTTAATTTGACCAGAGAGGGACAGAGTGAGAGAAAGAGAAGGAAAGTAAAAAAGCGAGCTGCCAGGTCCAGGACTCAAACCGCGGTTGGCCATGTGGGTGTCCAGCACTCTTAGCTACCACGCCACCTACCAGCTCTAGGACAATCTTCTTAGTAGTTTTTGCCTTTTTCCAGAAAATAGGCTTAGACTATCCACCAAGGCCACTGGTTTCCTGTCATAAAGCCACTTTCACTGAGCATACAGAGAATCCTTGCCCTTTTAAATTTTTTTTGGAGAGGTTTTTGCTGTAGGGCACGTGCACTCGCCAGACAGACAGGGAGAGACAGAGAGAAAGCGAGAAATCACCCCCCAGGGGGGGATGGCCATGCTGCAACCCCCCTCTCCTCTATTCTCCTCTTGGGAACGCACGGCCCGGCGTGAGTCTAAGCCACCGGGTCCGGGACTTGAACCAGTCAACTACACAGGAGTCCAGCGACATAGCCATCACGCTAACTGTTGGTCCCAATCCTTGCCCTTTTTGAAGTGTCACGTTGTGAGGTTGGTGCTTGCCATACTTCTTACAGAAAGCTCATCAGGTTTTAGGGACATTCGCCAAGTTTGCAGGTATGCTATCTGCACAGAAAGCTATTACTGTTTTTATAGGTCATATGTGCTCACAAGGAGGGGAAGTGAGAAAGCAAGCTACCAGGTCCAGTACCTTAACCACCACACCACCTGCTGGCTCTCTCCATGTTCTCTTTCACAATTTTAATCAAAAGAGAAGTCCCATTTTGCAGTGCATACTTTTCTCCAGTGCATGGGCATTAAGGTCCTCATCTGAGGTCTATAGGTCGATACTTTAGGGTGAGCCTTGTCAAGAACTTCCATGTGTTTTGCTTTGATTTGTTAATCTTGGTGCATAGAAAACTTGGGTAAGACTAAGTGAAAATCACTTGTGGTAAGACCTCAGTCTTTTTGGCATAGAGCTGTGATTAATGTTTCTGGATCATAGATTTTTTTTAAAGAGATTTTTGCTGGGACCAGCAGGTGGCATGGTGGTTAAGGTGCTGGGTACTTACATATGGCCGACCATGGTTCAAGTCCTGGACCTGGTGGCTTGTCTTTTCACTTTCCCTCCCTCCCTCTCTCTTTCTGTGTGTATGTCTGTCTCTGGTCAAATTAAATGAATGAATAGATAAAATTAAATAAAATAATTAAAAAAGGTTTTTACTTTAGGGTGTGTATACTTGCCAGAGACAAGCACAGTGACAGGGAAAGTGAAAAATCAGCTCCCAGGGGGGAATGGCTACACCGCAATCCCCTTTCCTCTACTTTCCTCCCAGGATCTTGGACACACAGGCACATGTGCCCGGCGTGATTTTCTTTCCTTGTAGATGTTTATGCCTTAGGGTGCATGCACTTGAGAGAGAGACAGAGACAGACAGACAGACAGTGAAAGGGAAAGTGAGAAATCATCCCCCTGGGGGCATGGCCACACTGTAATCCCTTCTCCATTCTCCTGGGATCTTGGGCACGCCCATACGCCCAGAGAGATTGAAGCCACCAGGTCCAGGACTTGAACTGGAGTCAGCCATGTGAGAGTCCAGCAATTTAACTGCTACAATACTATCTGCTGGTCCTGGATCATGAATTCTTTAGAGAATTTGATCAAATGTATGCCTAATAAAATACAGACATACCTAAAATTTTAAATTTTGATTGTTGTTTGATCCTTTTTAAATTTTAGTTTTTGCTACAGGGTGAATGTACTTGTCAGAGAGAGGAGTGAGAAATCAGTCCCCAGGGAGGATGGCTACGCCACAATCCCTTATACTCCATTCTCCTCAGGATTTTGGCACACCTGCACACACGTGCCCAGCATGATTTTCAAGCCACTGGGTCTGGGACTCAAATCACCAAATTGGCCATGTGGGATCCAGCTGCCCTAACCCCTACACCACCTTTTGGCCTCATTGTTGGGTCCTTTCATATTCATATGCAAACATTTGCTTCAAGCACATTAAGTGAATGTTATAGAAAGGTGGCTGGGGCCATTGATGACAGAGAGATGGGGAGGCCAAGGGAAATCAAAGGTTATCTTTTGAGAAGCTATCTGTGGCTTTTCATCCTACTTAGGTTCAGGGCTATTCCACACAAGTCCAAGTTGGGCAGGGATTGGTGAGAGCTAAAGCAGTCATTCTTCCTGCAACCCTTCATGTAGAAATATGCACAGGAGCCCATGTCAACTCTGAATCTACCTTTGTCCTACAGGAAAAGAAGAAGCAGAAGCTGCTCTGGAGAAGGGGGATGAGAGTGCTGAATGCCACCAGTGGTAATAACACCCTGCAGGATTCTGAAAAGACCCAGCAAGGGCCAGAGAAGAGGAGAGCCCCTTTTTTCTCTGCCCTAGCCACAGGGGCATTTGCAAGAGGAACCAGGAGAGGGAGCTCTGACCTGAATTTCCACATGCCTTACCCTACTACTAGCCAGAGACCAGGGACATTTTTTGCAGGGAGGTGCCTTTGGGGTGAGGCAAGGGGGATAACAGGCTTGTGTCTGTTGAGACTTGGAGAAATGAGTCATATTTTAAGAATCATCCTAGGTATAAAACTTGTAGGTTCTTGGCTCCTCAGGGAGGCTGGGACAGTTTGCAGTTCCCTTGTCCTGCATAAGCACTTTTTCCTAGCTAAGTTGCCTGGCTGGTGGTACTTTGGCTTCTTTGCTTAGTTTGCATGAGGAAAAGTAGATGTTACCTCACCCACAGGAAGTTCAGTGGTCAATTTATTAGCTTACAAAAATATCAGCCCTTTTTGTGGTCTCATGTGAGGCCAACTTGCATGGTTCAGGGCCAGTGCATGACTTGGGGCGTGGTTACACACTCATCTAATGCGAACTGTATTTCTAGAAGGATGTTGGAGGGTAGAGTTTCACTAAAGCCTTGTTTTTGAAGACAGAAAATAGGAAGCTGGCTGGTTTGTTCCCATAGAAGGAGGACATAGAGGGAAGGGCTAAAATAGGTCCCTTTTTCCTCTGCTTCTAAGGCTCCCAAGTTAATATTAGAAACTTACAGTATTCCATCCCAATACGACTGTCCTAAGAGTACAGCTTGCCAGGTCTCAGTGATGCACTTGAATACATCCAAGGCTAATAAGACCCTCTTTAGGGTCCGGCAGGTGGTGTGGTAGTTAAGGGCGCTGGGTTCCCACATGGCTAACCATGGTTTGAGTCCCGGACCTGGTGGCTTGCTTTCTTACCTTCTCTCTCTCTGTCCCTCTCTGGTCATAATGAAATAAGTAATTCTAAAAAAAGAGAGAGACTATTTTAGTGTCTACTCAGAAAACAAAAGCAACATATTCAGATGTCTTCTGCTTTGATATTTATTAGGGTATACCTGCTTTTTATGTTTTTATGATACTCATGGCTATACTCTGAGAAAGGGGTTATTTGGACTGAGACCTTGCCTACATATTAAGTGTAAGGGATATTTACTATGGGGGATGTAGCTTTTCTGTACCTACTTTAGAGAACTGTAAGCCTACCATTGTGTTTACCAAAGAATACTAATTGGGATCACAGGTCTGTGAAGAAGGGGAATTATATACATATGAGAATTTTATTTTCAGGGCTGGTTCTGTGACCTAATGATTAAGGGAGTCAGATCCCACATGGCTGTTCAAGTCCTGGGCCTCATGGTTTGAGAAACATGCCAGGCATGTGTGTATGCTAGCTCAAAATCCTGGAGCAATGGAGAAGGGACTGTAGCATGACCAATCTCCCGTTGGGGAGACTTTCTCAGTCTTCCTCTCTTTGTCTTTGGTGAGCACACATGTCCTTTGGAAAATTAAAACAAAAACAAAGAAACAATTTTATTTCCAGCTCTAGTGGATGGAGGGGCAGAGGATAATGCAATTATGCTGAGAGTGGGAAGCCTGTTCTTGCAGGTATGGTGCCCAGTCTTAGTCCCTGAGCTTGCTGCTGCTTCTTCCCTTAGGTATGCAGTGCTTTGTGGTCAGCTGGCTGAGCATGAGGGCATCCAGAGACGCATTCAGACTGGCTTTAGCTTCAAGGTGAGGCCAGGCTTCTCCTCACTCCCTTGTATGTCTAGTCCAGATTCCCTGCTCTTTCCTAGCTCCTGTAGAAGGGCTTTCCTATTTGCCTCAATGACTTGCCTCTCTTCCCTTACCAACTCCAGTATCTGATGTTGGTTTATATTTACATTTTCCCATCAGGAACATGTGGACAAAGTCATTGCTCTCCAGCCAGAAAACCCCATGGCTCACTTTCTCCTTGGCAGGTGGTGTTACCAGGTAAGCTACATTCCAGGGCTTAATGTAAGTCCTCTGTGTCCTATGACACTGATCTCCTGGCTGAGAGGAGCAGGGTTCTCTTCAGCCTCGTCTGACTCAGGTGCCATTTCCTTTGAAAGCTCATGTTATTGGTGGTTGGACTCAAATCTTGTATTCACACCTTGATCTTTTGGTGGCAGGTCTCTCACCTGAGTTGGCTAGAAAAAAAAACCGCGACAGCCTTGTTTGAAACCCCTCTTGATGCCACTGTACAAGATGCCCTCCAGAGTTTCCTAAAGGTATTCGGGAAAGGAGGGGTAGACAGCAGTCAAAAATACAAGGGCAAATTTGCTTTTCTCAAGAATGTTATTTAGACCCTTAATGAAAGGAGTTTTTGCTATGGGGAAATTTTGTTTATCTGCCCTACGGAAACACCTGGAAAACTTATAAAAAATATAGATTCCTGGGCTGGCAGGTGGCATGGTGGTCGAGGGTGCTGAACTCCCAGATGGCTGACTGCAGTTCCAGTCCTGGACCTGGTGGCTTGGTTTCTCTCTCTCTCTGACCCTCTGGTCAAATTAAAATAAATAAATAGTTAAATAATAAAGTAATTATTAAAAAAAAAATAGATTCCCAGGGCTAGCTTGGTGGCACAGCAGTAGCACACTATTCAAGGGTTGCTAGAGCTGTATGGAAGATCATAGGTTCTGCTCCCTGGTTGACTTGTACATGTTGGGCATGTGCGCCCGTGATCCTGGCTGGCTAGGGGATAGCAGTGTGAGACCTGTTGAGGGTGCTTGTCCCTTCCATTCTCTCATGAAAGAAATAAGCCTTAAAAAAAAAAAAAAACCTAGGAAACCAGCAGTTAGCGTAATGGCTATGTCACTGGACTCCCGCGTAGTCGACCGCGGTTTGCATCCCGGACCCGGTGGCTTAAAACTCACGCCGGGCGCGTGTGTGTGCGTGCCCAAGATCCCGAGAGGAGAATGGAGGAGAAGGGATTGCGGCGTGACCATCCCCCCTGAGGGGTGATTTCTCGCTTTCTGTCTCTATGTCTCTCTCTGTCTGTCTGGCGAGCGCACGTGCCCTACAGTGAAAATCTCTCCAAAAAAAAAAAAAAAAACACCCTATAATTAAATACACACACACACGTGTGCGTGCACTCTCTCTCCCAGACCCACTGAATCAGTCTCCAGGTTAGGGTCTGCAAATCTCTCATAAACTTGAGACTTACTTGAATTTGGGAACCTGTTACTAACCTGTTACCTGTTCTTTTTCTCTCTAGGCTGAAGAACTACAGCCAGGATTTTCCAAAGCAGGAAGAGTACTATAATTAAATACACACATACACGTGTGCGTGCACTCTCTCTCCCAGACCCACTGAATCAGTCTCCAGGTTAGGGTCTGCAAATCTCTCATAAACTTGAGACTTACTTGAATTTGGGAACCTGTTACTAACCTGTTACCTGTTCTTTTTCTCTCTAGGCTGAAGAACTACAGCCAGGATTTTCCAAAGCAGGAAGAGTATATATTTCCAAGGTAAATTTACCTGCCTACTTCAACATAATGAAAATATTTATGTTGATGATTTATCTGGAAACTCCTGAAAGCACACATACTCAACCACTGCTAGTCTTGTATTTCCCACATATTTATACTGTTATGTCTTCTCAGTGCTACAGAGAACTAGGAAAAAATTCTGAAGCTAGAAGGTGGATGAAGTTGGCCCTAGAACTGCCAGATGTCACTAAAGAGGTACTCTTTTAATTACGTTTTTAAAATACTGGGTCACACCATTGTGTCATCAGGTGACCTCTTTTCCCCAGACATCTTATTTCCCTAGGAGAGAAAGCAATGGAGGCAGTCACCCACCCCGACCCCCAGAGGGTATGCGTGCTTGTCAGAGAGAGACAGGAAGAGGAAAAGGCACTCCCTGTGGGGGATAGTCATACAAGTCCTTTCTCCATTTCTCTCTCCTTTTGGAATTTTGGGCATACACGGCAGATACACATGCATGTGTTCCTCAAGCCACCTGGCCAAGACCTAAACCATGAGGTCAGCCATATGGAATTCAGCCGTCTTAACCACCACACCACAGAGCTGGCCCATGCACTTTTGTATACATCTCACCAAGGAAAAGAGAGATTCCATAGGCTCTAGGCTATCCAGAGACAGGAAGAGGAAAAGGCACTCCCTGTGGGGGATAGTCATACAAGTCCTTTCTCCATTTCTCTCTCCTTTTGGAATTTTGGGCATACACGGCAGATACACATGCATGTGTTCCTCAAGCCACCTGGCCAAGACCTAAACCATGAGGTCAGCCATATGGAATTCAGCCGTCTTAACCACCACTCCACAGAGCTGGCCCATGCACATCTCACCAAGGAGAAGAGAGATTCCATAGGCTCTAGGCTATCCTGGAAAATAAGGAAACAATCCAGGAAAAAAAATCAAAGGGGCCCTCTTCTCAGGTACCAGTGGACTGAGAAAATGTTTGGTCCTAGATTTTGAGTCTTAAATTTGTTCTCTTTGTCTCCCTAGGATTCAGCTTTCCATAAAGACCTGGAAGAATTGGAAGTAATTTTAGGAGAATAGTCACATTTCAGTGGCCTTCATGACTGGAGGGATGGCACTACATATGGGGGAAGAATCAGGACTTTTCCCTGTACATCCCCATTGAGATAAGGAACCCAAGCAAGATTGGTTTAAGGAGTATCTGGACTCCTGGGTCAGATTGCTATTCACTACCATTCCACAGCTTAATTTATTCTAATCTCTTAACTAATCTAAAATTGGGGAAGTACTGTGTTCTCTCCCTTAAGTGAATTCTTGAAAAATCAAGAATATTCTAGCATCTGCCATAGGGGTAAGTGTGGGTAGATCCCGCGCTGTGAGAAGTAAGGACTAAGTAAGTAGCAGCACTGCCTACCGACTGCTGGTGAGGTGGATGAACTTGAAAGAGCTACAAGAACAAAGCACAGAATTGGTTACTTTCTCATCTTTTCCACTGAAGAATAATCAGCATGTATATATACGTAGTTCTAAGATCATACCCTACCTACCAGGGTAAAAGGAAGGGGTAGAGCAACCACTGGATATTGCCCTCTTACACCTATCATGTGGATTCTACCTGTGTTCCTGGGCTGAGGGGCTGGACCACTGACTTCTAGAATCCTGGTGCTCTGGAATGACAACAGTGGCATAGGGTTTATGATACTGTGAAACAAGCTGAGGCCTGGAATATATTTTGATACAAAATTTAAATAAACCAAATTTGATTAGAAATTACTGTATTTTCCTTTCTCTTTCAGTTCAAGCTCTTTTTTTTTTTTGAGAGATTTTTGCTATAGGGCGCGTGCGCTCGCCAGAAAGACAGAGACAGAGAGACAGAAAGCAAGAAATCACCCTGGGATGATTTCTTGGCCATGCCAATCTCTTCTCCTCCATTCTCCTTTCAGGATCTTGGGCATGCACGCACACGCACCTGGTGTGAGTCTAAGTCACTGGTTCTGGGACTCGAACTGCTGTCCACTACTTGAGAGTCCAGCGAAATAGCCATTATGCTAACTGCTCGTCCCTCAAGCAATTTATTCTTGCTTGACACTTCCATAACCATTTCTTCCGCAGAAGCTACTGCAGACAAGTAGAAAAACAGGGCCTCAAGGTTTGATTCAACCCCAAGCAAGAGGTTGATCCTCTTGCTAGTGAAAATTTTATAAGAGCTAACCTTTCGCTCCACAATCTATCATTGTGGTTTTAATATGCCATCCCAGGTTTCTTTTGTGGTGTGAAACAAAACACCTAAATGGGGAACCAGCAGTTAGCGTAATGGCTATGTCGCCGGACTCCCACGTAGTTGACTGTGGTTCGCGTCCCAGACCCGGTGGCTTAAAACTCATGCCGGGCGCGTGTGCGTGAGTGCCCAAGATCCCAAGAGGAGAATGGAGAAGGGATTGCGGCATGACCATTCCCCCTGGGGGTTGATTTTTCGCTTTCTGTCTCTCTGTCTGGCGAGCACACACGCCCTATAGCGAAAACCTCCCCCCCACACACCAAAAAAAAACCAAAAAACCCCACCTAAGATGTACTCTCTTCTGAGGGTAAAACAAATTTTGTCTACTGTGTAGTTTTGGATGGTCACTCAGCACTTAGGACTTCTAATCCAGATCTTATCCCAAATAAAGAGCTCAACATAAGAAAAATGGGTAAATAAAAGCTAAGGGTGAAAACTCGAGAAAAGAGAGACCTATAAATTTCATTTGGTACCTAGCATCCAGGCACATTGACAAGGATGTTTTAATGTTTCAAGTTTTAATATTACAAGTTAGAGACTAAGAACTGCTTTTAAAAATAAAGCTGCCTAAAATTGACTTGAGTCTTCCTATCTTCCTAACATACAATGGAACCAATATAAGCAGGAGCAGAGATCTTCTGGGCCTCTTCTCCCAATACTAGCTGAGAGGCCCTTTGAAATGGGAAGAACTAGGTAAAACCCATCCTGAGTAGATGCTCAAAGGGAAGAAACACTTTAAACCTCAGAAGTACAATAATTGTGGCAGGGGCCAGAAGGTGGCATGGCGGTTAAAGGCGCTAGATTCCCACATGGCCAATTACGGTTTGAGTCCTGGACCTGACGGCTTGAAAATCATGTCAGGTGCATGTGTATGCATGTAGAAAATCCCAAGGGAAGAATGGGAAAGGGGCCGTGGCGTGGCCATCCCCTCTGGGGGTGGAGGTGATTTCTCAGTATCTCCCTGGCAAGTGCATGCACCCTATGGCAAAATAAAAAAAAATACTATTCCAGGAACAGACCTCTACAACATGGGACTTATAGAATAAAAACAAAAGCCATAGGAATGCCATGGTATATCTGTCTTGTAATTATTTTTTAAATTTTTTGGAGAGGTTTCTGCTACAGGGCACGTGTACTTGCCAGACAGACAAGAGACAGACAGAAAGCGAGAAATCACCCCCCAGGGGGGATGGCCATGCCGCAGTCCCTTCTTCTCCATTCTCCTCTCGGGATCTTGGGCACGCACGCACACGCACCTGGCATGAGTTTAAGCCACTGGGTCTGGGACTTGAACCGCGGTCAGCTACTTTATTAACAGCCTCACAATCTGTTTACTTAGCCTCTGAAATACTGTAAATTCCAGAATTATCCTGAGTTAGTCTTAGCAATATAGGACAAAGCAAGTAGATGGTGAAGGCCTGATGGTCCATAAGACTTCAAACAAGACTCCTTAAAAACAAATCGCTACAAGAGAGGTCAGACATACAACTTTAAAAATGGCTTCAGGTTGACAGGTAAGTTTTTCTGACAGAGAAAGATAACCTATAAAGAGTCCCATTTCCTTTGTTACACAGTTCAGGCATTTTATTTTACTATTATTCAAAAGTGAGAGAAGAGCTGGGTCTCTCTTGGAGACATATGATTGTCCAATAGGTAGCTGTTAGATCTGAGTCAATTGCAAGGCACTATGTCAAAGGTGTTCCATAATTCTCTTTCAAAAACCAAAGAAATTACATAAAGATTAATACTCTCCAGAAGGAATAAACATTTCAGATTAATTTGTGACTACAAACCTACCTCCTGTTTACACTGTCAGAAAAGCTGATACAATGGCTGTTTTCCCGGAAGCTTCTTCCTATCAGTCATAACAGGAAGAGGCCTGTGAAGAATCTCCTGGGAGCAGTCCTCCCCATTAGGCTGCAGCACTTACATTTTACACAGGAAAAACCCCCAGTGATTCAGTCTTTGGCATCTCCTACTCCATCCGCATTGATAGCAAACATAGCTTCGGCTTCAGGAAGACAAGGAGAGTCATAGATTTTGCAGATTCTTGTTTCCCCTCTTCCTTTCCTCAGGTACAGTCTGACCCAAAGACACAGACCAAAGTACCAAGTTACTATAATTAATTCCATTCCTCTATTTATGATAGAGTTAAACTTTCTTATGCATTTCTTAGAACTCTGAAGATTTTTGTTTGTCTGTTTTTTTTGTTTGTTTTGAGAGTTTTTTTTTTTTTTCTTTTTGCTGTAGGGTGCGTGCGCTCGCCAGAAAGACAGAGACAGAGACAGAAAGCAAGAAATCACCCCCCGGGGGGATGGCCATGCCACAATCCCTTCTCCTTCGTTCTCCTCTTAGGATCTTGGGCATGCACGCACACGTGCCTGGTGTGAGTTTTAAGCCACTGGGTCCGGGACGTGAACCGCGGTCGACTACGTGGGAGTCCAGCGACATAGCCATTATGCTAACTGCTGGTCCCTCTGTTTGTCTGTTTTTAACATTCCTCAGTGTATTTCCAACCTGGAGGAATCCATTTCTGCCCTATCTCCTTTCTTAATGGAGTGTCCACATTGAAACAAAACTTTTAATAATTAAGGAGAAGCAATATCTATTATTATCAATCATTCCTCAACATTTGAACATTTAAAATGAACTTTTTATGAACTAAAACACCTGTACCAACCACAGCATGACAATTAGATTTAGCAAGAATTCCTAAGCTCTCGGTTATACAATAGTAGATTTAATACTGTTCAGATGGAAATGCTATTATCCTCACATCTACTTTAGAGTTAATATGATACTCTAAGCAGCAGCATCTATCCCATTACCTTACCTGGTCGTTGATGCATGAGCGATAATGTTTCCTCCAATAGGTTTTTTGGGATCTGCAGCAAACATGGCCGCACCATCCACTTGGGCTACCACCTGGTTGGTAATTACTACTGCTACACCAAACTGATGGAGAAAGGACATATGTTAGTTTTGTGGCTATACACATTCTGAAAACCTTAATGCTGATACCACTTCCCTAGCAAAGCAAAGAATGAGAGACTAATCTCTCTCTTCTTCCTCCTTTACTAAATGATAGCTTGTTAGTATTAGTCCTGGCCTCTTAGCTAGGCTCTTAGAATTTGTGGCTCCCCAAAGCTGGCATTTTCTGTCCCTACCCCACAGCTTACCTCATCAGCAAGTCGCAGAAGCATCCGCAAAAACCTGGCCAAGTGCATTTGTCTGGCTGAGAGCTCTCCTCGACCTGAGTAGTCTGTTCTATACAAGGCGGTGGCACTGTCTACAATAAGTAGTGCATACCTATAGGGAAAAGGGATTCTCTGAAACTTATTTCTAGTCAATGTCAGATTTTATTCCCCTCACTTTCCTAAAATCTCATATTCATCATTTCACTAGTATACAGATGTTTTAATAAACTATTTGTACAGCATTCATATCTGAGGCACTGCTTAATAAGATTTCCAGCTGGGGACCAGCAGATGGAGTAATGGTTACATCACTGGATTCCCATGTAGTCAACGGTAGTCTGAGTCCCAGACCTGGTGGTTTTAAACTCACACCAGGCAGGGAACCAGCAGTTAGCGTAATGGCTATGTTGCCAGACTCCCACGTAGTCGACCGTGGTTTGCGTCCCGGACCCGGTGGCTTAGAACTCACACCGGGCGCGTGTGTGTGCATGCCCAAGATCCTGAGAGGAGAATGGAGGAGAAGGGATTGCGGCGTGACCATCCCCCCTGGGGGGTGACTTCTCGCTTTCTGTCTCTACGGTGAGCACATGTGCACTATAGCAAAAATCTCTCTCTCAAAAAAAAAAAAAAAAAAAATCCAGCAACTTCAGGCAGATCATGGCGTCATTTTAAATTTCTTATTATTTTAATTCCCCAGAGAGCACATGCATTGGCAAGAGAGAGAGGCAGAGAGACAGAGGGAGAAAGCACTCTCCACTGGACATAGGCACACCACAATCCCTTCTCCATTTCCCTGCCGTGTCAGAACTTTTGAGTATATACACACGCATTCCCAATATATTTGTCAAGCCACTAGGCCAGAGCCAGCCGGATGGCCTATTTTTAAATATTGATTTGCTCTAAACCAAAAAGTGACAGTGTCAAAATATAAACTAATTCAAGCTACTAGCAATATGGTCAGTCTATACAAGACGCAGGGCAAGGGCTTTAGGAACATACCTGGTCTCTTCTAAGCACATACCTGGATTCTACCATCATAGCAGAGGCTTGGTAAAGGAGCTGGGTCTGGTGGTCTGTGTTGAACCCGCGAGCATATGCTACATTATCCAGGACATCACTGCCAGAGAGGCCGTATCTGGAAATGAGGTAAGAACATTTTTAGGCTGCACACAGAATCAGGCAGATGAGAAATTCATCTTTAACCCTTAAATTACTTTGGTAGGTAGATAAGAAGTGTTGCTGATAGTGGTTTCAGGGCCAAGGAATACAACTTCTCTTTGTTAGAAAGTTCAGGCTAATTGGAGAGAGAGAGAGGGAGGGAGAATAAATCCACCCAGCAAAACTTCAGGATAAATCTATCTATGCACTGAGGACTCCTGAACTAGAATGAGAAATTCCCAAGTATAAGGAAATTATTCTCCTGAAAAAAATCAATGGCAACATGATAGAGCAGGGATAAAAACAGTGAAGCACTCAAAGACCAGTTAAATTAATAAACTGTAGCTATATGGGAATAAAACCTTCTAAACAAGGACTCAACTGTAAGAATCTCGAGGACGAAAAATAAGCATATTTCACTTCTCTTATTCTCCCTTTTCTTGCTAGTAACTAGTTGGTTTAAGTACAATATGTGACATCTATGAGTCTAGTATGAGGGATGCCTTAATTCAGTTTATACCTCAAATAATGTTTTTTTCTTTGTGTTAAAAAATGCAAATTCAGTATGTCCTATTTTCATACAATGATCTATATTTTCTCATCTCTGTAACTGCCATCTAAGACATGAGGTTTAAGGTGTACAAGTATGACAGTATCATTTTCGTTAACTATACCACTATGGGGCTCCATTTCTTCAAAAGTAGTTTGACATGGGAACTAGCAGTTAGCGTAATGGCTATGTCGCTGGACTCCCATGTAGTTGACTGCGGTTCGCGTCCTGGACCTGGTGGCTTAGAACTCACGCCGGGCGCGTGTGCGTGCGTGCCCAAAATCCCGAGAGGAGAATGGAGAAGGGATTGCAGCGTGACCATCCCCCCTGGGGGGTGATTTCTCGCTTTCTGTCTCTATGTCTCTCTTTGTCTGTCTGGCGAGTGCACGCGCCCTATAGCAAAAACCTCCCTCCCCCCCCCAAAAAAAAAGTAGTTTGACTTATCTATCTACCATAACTCAATGTCTGTATTTTTTTTTTTTATTAAGAGAGGATTTTTGTTATAGGGCACATATGCTCACCAGAGAGACAGAGGGAGACTGAAGAGACAGAAAGCGAGAAATCACCCCAAGGGGAATGGTCATGCCGTAATCCCTTCTTCTCCATTCCCCTCTCGGAATCTTGGCCACGCACACACATGTGCCTAGCATGAGTTTTAAGCTGCCAGGTCCAGGACTTGAACCATGGTTTACTACATGGGAGTCCAGTGACCATAAGCATTATGTACCTGCTGGTTCCAACGTCTGTATTTTTTTTTAATAATTAATTTTATTCATTCACTTATTTTTTAATCTGACCAGAGACAGACAGAGAGAAAGAGAGGGAAAGTGAGGAAGCAAGCCACCAGGTCAGGGACTCGAACTATGGCTGGCCATGTGGGAGTATCCAGCACCTAAACCACCACGCCACCCGCTGGCCCCCCAATGTCTGTATTTTGAGAAAAGTTTTTTCATACTCTCAAATAGATGTGATTGTCCCTCTTTCACACTTCAAGAAAACTTGGCTATGGCACTTGTGCTGTTCTTTTACTAGACTACAAATCCATTGGAGAAAAGATCTGGGTTCTTTACTTAACCTAGTCTTTTTTTTTTTTTTAAAGAGATTTTTTTGCCATAAAGCACGTGTGCTTGCCAGAGAAACGGAGAGAGAAGGTCAGACATCGCCTCTCCTGGGGGCAATCTCTTCTCCATTCTCTCATTTGGATTTTAGGCACTCATGCACATATGCCCAGCTGGAGTTTTAAGCTGGCAGGATCCAGACTAGAACCACAGCGGAAGTCCAGCAATATAACCACAATGCCATCTGCTGACCCCCTACCTAGTTCATTTTTTAAAAAAGAATTATTTTATTCAACTTTATTTATTTATTTTAATTTTACAGAGAGGGACAGAAAGAGAGAGAGACAGAAAGGGAGAAAGTAAGCTGCCAGGTCCGGGACTTGAACTGTGGTTGGCCATGTGAGAGTCTAGGGCCCTTAACCACTACGCCACCTGCTGGGCCCACCTCGTTTATTTTATATACTAAGTAAATTGTGAATAAATGTTGCCAAATCAAGTTTTTGCCCAAATCCAAACAAAAAGAGAACATATATCATCACTTTTAACCCAAGTAATGTTTTAACATCACTGTCACCAAAAATCACAACAGTACAAAAGTATCATAGTGACTTCCTTAAGAGGATGTTTAAATAAATAAAACCCATTGTGCAGTAATCCTTTAACCTAGGTTCTATGATTATGATTCTAACACAGGGATAAAGAGGTGGACTGAGGATAGTTATTACATTAGGATCCTGACCAAATATAACAGGAATGAGGAGATACACATTTCCTATATTTAAGTCATGGATGTAAGGTAGGAAAAAGACACAATAGACCTAAGTACTACTAAGTACTGCAGAAGTCTTCTGGTTCTGCCTCAAGAAACATTGATTTAATCTATTATTAAGGAAGGGAGATTATTTGCAGTCAGAACATGAAAGGTTTATCAGAAAGTTTTTTTTTTTTTTTAAAGAGAGATTTTTGCTATAGGGCGTGTGTGCTCGCCAGAGACAGAGAGACAGAAACCACCCCCCCCGGGGGGGGATGACCATATGGCAATCCCTTCTCCATTCTTCTCAGAATTTTGGGCAGGCACACACACGTCCCCAGCATGAGTTTAGGTCGCCAGGTATAAGACTCGAATTGTGGTCAACTATGTGGGAGTCCAACGTAATCACTACACCATGTGCTGGTCCCTATTCTAGTTGCTTTTTTTTTTCTCAGCAGACATGCAATTTTCAAATATTACAACTTGGAAAACCTGTTAGAAATAGCATTCTTCCTCATAGTATTCTGTAAACTTCCTTAAAGATAAGAATAGCATGGAATATGGGGATGGCAGGTGGCGTGGTAGTTAGGGCGCTGGACTCACACATGGCTGACTGCAGTTTGAATCCCGGACCTGGCGACTTGCTTTCTCACTGCCCCCAATTTGTCTTTTTCTGGTCAAATTAATAGTTAAATGATAATACACTTTTTTTGAGAGATTTTCACTATAGGGCGCGTGCGCTTGCCAGACAGACAGAGAGAGACATAGAGACAGAAAGCGAGAAATCACCCCCCAGGGGAGATGGTCACGCCGCAATCTCTTCTCCTCCATTCTCCTCTCGGGATCTTGGGCACGCACGCACACACGCCCGGCGTGAGTTCTAAGCCACCGGGTCCGGGACGCGAACTGCAGTCGACTACGTGGGAGTCCAGCGACATAGCCATTATGCTAACTGCTGGTTCCCTGATAATACATTTTTTTTTAAATGAGAAAAAAAGAGAATAACTTGGAATACATGTTAAAAAACAAGTTCCATGGGACCAGCAGTTTGCATAATGGCTGTGTCACTGGACTCCCATACAGGACACATGTGCTTGTGTATCCAAAATCCCTGGAGGATGGGTGAAAGAGGAGGGATCACAGTGTGGCCATTCCCCCGAGGAGGGTGATTTCTCACTTTCCCTCTCAAAGTCTTCCTCTGTTTCTCTCCAGCAAATGAATGCACCCTACGGCAAAAACCTTAAAAAAAAAATTTCCTAAGCCTAACCAAGAGTCAGTGAAACATAATTTTCAGGGAAATTTGTATATTCAACAAATACCTAAAGTTACTCTTTGTTCCCTTTCTCTAGTCCTCCATCCCATTGGGTCTTGAGCACTCATACCCATGCGCAGCATCTTTCAGGCTGACTAAGCCCAGGATTTAAATCATGGCCACCATATGGGAACCAGCTTCTCTGAAGCAGTGCACCACTACTGAGCCAAAGAGCCAGGTCTACCTCAGGTGATTCTTTTCTAAGTTTGTATGAGGGTGTGTGTGTGCTCACCAGAGACATAAAGAGACAAAATAAGAGGAAGAAAGCACTTCCCATAGGCAGTGGTCACGCCATAACCCCTTCTCCATTTCTCCATCCTGTTGGGATTTGGGGTATACACGCACAAATGTCCACCATGTCTTTCAAGTCCTTGGGTCCGGGACTCAAACCACTTGAGTTGGTCAAGTAGGATCTGTCTGCCTTAACCTCTAGGCCATTGAGCTAGCCTTTAAAAAAAGAAAAGCTTCTTTTTAAAAGACAGATTTTTGTATTGGGCACACGCGCTCACTAGAGAGACAGAAAATGATAAATCACCCCTGGGGGGTTGGGCGGACAGCCATACCACAATCCCTTTTCCTCCAATCTCAAGATTTTTGGGCATGCATGCACACATGCCTGGCATGGGTCTGGGACTCAAACTGTGGTTGACTTATGTGGGAGTCCAGTAATGTAACCATTACACCATCTGCAGCCCCCTCATTATTATTATTATTATTTTTTAATTCTGGACAATTTCAAACACATAGTAGCACAGAAAATAAACCCTTATCACCACAATTTTAATTCAGGTCATTCTTTTTCTCTTTCTTTCTTTCTTTTTTTTCAAACCCTTATCACCACAATTTTAATTCAGGTTATTCTTTTTCTCTTTCTTTTTTTTTTTTTTGAGACTTTTTGCTATAGAGAGAGAGACAGAAAGCGAGAAATAACCCTTCTCCCTCAAGGAGATGGCCACGCTGCAATCCCTTCTCCTCCATTCTTCTCTCGGGATCTTGGGCATGCTCGCACATGTGCCTAGCCTGAGTTTAAGCCACTGTGGTCGACTACATGGGAGTCCAGCGACATAGCCATTAGGCCAACTGCTGGTCCCTAACTCAGGTTATTCTGAAAATGTATTATTAAGAAGAAAGAAAGAAAAAGCTCTATTAGTGAATAAAAAAAAAAGGAACAAAAAAAAAAAAAAAGGAAAAAAAAAGAAGAAAAAATAGCTCTATCAACTCAAAAGGGCTCAGTCCTTCTCTTTCAATATATAATGAGTGTCGGGAACCAGCGGTTAGCGTAATGGCTATGTCGCTGGACTCCCAC